CATAAAAATAGACATCCTGGAGAGCTTAACTAACCCGAAGAACGGTTGTGAAATGGGAATGAGCCATTACCCAAACTTCGTAAGAATTTTGTAAATCCAAACAACTTCACGCTGAGAGGGAGCTTTTATTGGTTTCCTAGGCAAATTCCTTTCACAAGACGTGAAACAGAAATATTAACCTCGTTTTCTCATGGTTAGTTCCACCAAGCGCAGATTGCCTTTCCATTATTGCTGTCGTTTGGCGTAGAAAATTACAATTTAAAAACCAAGGAATCCTGGCATATATCACCTCATATCGTTTTAGGTACCATTTGGGACAATTTGGAAGTAGTGTCTATTTCCTCTCTGTGTAACGATGAGCGTGTTTTCGTAGAACGAGACCGATAGTTAATTAACGTAATTTTGAACACCCCGCATGCATTTTACTGAACTTGGTCTTGGAATAACTATTTTGCATATATGTCCCACCTCATAGCAAGTAGAGGAAACTGCTAAACATATTTAGCATATCGAATCTCTTACGTAGCCGAATTCTTTATGAGAAGCATAAGGGGTATAGTCAGTGAAACCCCCTCACTTTAATTACCATGGATCTGTAAAATTCATCCAAAACTGTAACTCTTTATACAGTATATGATCTGGTGACTGAATCGAACAAGACTCACAGAATTCCTCGCCATCTTCTTCACTCTCCTCATTCTCCTCTGCATTTTCATACACCGCATCTTCCTCCTGCTCCTCCGTGTCCGCCTCCGTACCCCAATACCACCAGAATACTTTGTTCACCACAAACTGCATGATTTCATCCATCCAGCTTGCGTACATTTCAACGACCTGCGCTAGTTAAGGATGCTGTTCTGACGCCCCAACCGACAGTTCAAACGCAGTCTAGATCGATTACTGCGGATCTCGCATGCGATAGGTCCGCGTGGACGCTGTTGACTGTCGCAGCCGCAAAGGTGTGCTTCTATCGGTATTTACCTGAGCCTCAGCGATATTTTCCATAAAATGCCGTCATAGGCATTAAAAAATCAACAGAAAAACTCTGCGAGGTTCACACTATCTGGATATTGTGCCTTTGGAACGCACAGTCACAAACATTCGTCTGAGTAAACCTGATTAAAACAGAGGGAACAAATGAGATAGGACTTTGTTATGGGGTTTCAGGCTCTTGAATAATTGCATCGTCCGCTTATGGGGAGTGATTTTCTATTCCTTTTAGCTGTGGATAGATTGCAATTATTGAATGCATGACTTTGGGATGGTTAACTCCTTCTTATCTTTCGTCTGCGCTGAATCTCTCAATTGGCCATCGGCAGTTCTCGTGCAGCGTCCTAACTGAATGACTGCAACCTCCCTGAGCTTAATCGCAAGATGGCATCCTATTAACACCGAATAAAGCAGTGCCCATGAGTAAGAGTGGAAAAGTTACGAAAACAGAGGCAATAACTTACCGCAAATGCAATTATTGCTATTTAAACCGATATGATTTCTGGTTGCGGACTAGGGGGATAATGGAGATACAGCATTCATGCTATAGAGTGTTGGCTTGTAGACCACTGGGCTTTTCGTAATAGCCATGTGTACCGTTATCTGGGAGTTTTCACAAAATCGGAATATTATTCAGTTGTATAATTACAAGTTCCACGGATGTAGCTTGGCCTGATAGTGCTTATTTAAAAGGATCCCAATGGACAACGGGCTTTACTGCGACGCCATGCTAGAAACTTTTGCCTTGAAAACAGATCGACCGGTTTCTTCCTTTCTCTGGTTCGTTAAATTGCACCTTTATCTTTCAGTAGCCTGCCTTAACTTAGCCCCGTTTATGCACCATCGGTTGATACCTATGATAGCTGAGAAACTGAATATTCTTTCTTCGTGTTTCTATGCACAGGGGTGTTAGGTCCATCCCTGGGCCTTCACGTGACTAGGAAGTTAATAAAAACTACCTTCCGGCCCTCGGGATGATAAACCCACGGTTCCAGTTATCACGCGTTCATCTTCGTCGGAACAAGAAACTTTATCTCGCATATTCGCCCTTGACTTGATTATTAGTTTTCTCTGACTGTGTTGTTGCTCGGAATTTTTATTGAATTTCCATCTTATCCAGATTCACCCGATATTACTGGAAAGCACATTTGTAAGCCCCACCTGCGTGCCCTGTGGTTGCGGCGGGTATGGCACTGCACAGTCCGGCTCGGGTCTTGAAGAATAGGTGGGAAATCCAGGTCGGCATTGAGTCAACGTTAAGTTGCCCACCAACGTTGGATAAATATACTTCAATTACTACACGCATTTTAGT